AACGAGAATAACCTACTAAAGTTCCCTAAGAGTTATAGCAATTGCCAGATTATAAGTAAAAGGAATGTTTAAAGAGCTATGATTGCTTACGGCCTGAAGGGAAATAGCATTTAAAAAAAGATAGAAAAGGTATCTTAATACTTGTCGCCACACCCCGACCTTTCTCACACAGGCGGGTTGTGGCGAGCCTTTTACTACCATGGAAATTGCACGGACGAACTACATTCCTTGGTTCAGCTAGGTCTAACCATCACGGCTAGGACCCACCATGACACTTATATTGGAGCAAACCACCCATATTTCCTCCGTATTTCATCGGCGAGAAGTAAGTTCCACTCGAACAGCTTCTTCCCGCGAACCACTGTTCTGTGGAACAGACTCCCAAAAGATGTTTCCCCGATCACGACAATCGTTAATAATAAGTTAACTGTTATTTAAACTGCTCCTTAAGATAATCCTCTACCTCGATTGGCCTCGAGTTTTGTAGAGGATAAACCTCACTGTAAAATGAGCCATTGGACATATACGTCTTTACCAAACTTATATTTGATGCAGTTGACATATATATATATATATCAATCACTGTTTTCCGTGCTGCTAGTACCACATAACAGAGTACAACCTGTCGGATCTCATTTGGATAGGTATCACCAAGTATTTCTATTTACAGTTAATTTCATATGATTAAAACAGTTCATTCAGAAATCGTGCAATTAATTTTATCCTGGACAACACCAGGGCAACATTTTCCCTTTTTTTTTCTTAAGAATAAGCGAACGACACGTTTGAATGATAATGTGTTCAATCTTCACCGGCTTGTAGTCTTACTCCAGACTAAATTAAATAAAAGTAAATGTATTTCAGTGTCTCGATATGAGGTAATGGGTACCGATCTATTCTAGCATACCGTAACAATATGAATGTGGCGTAATGGATATCTAAGTAAGCAATGGAATCAACGAGGCTAAGCTTAATATCCGACAGAGTTTGCTTCTTTCACTTTATCTTAATACCATTACGGGAAAAATAAATCAATTTCTACTTGTCTCTGTTATAATAAGTGTTGTGGATTCCGGGTTGAAATCCGGTACCAATAAATAACAAACGCCAGGAATGAATATATGACTATAATGTATTATCGTAATAATACAAACTGGTAAAGCAGGTTAGTAGTTCCAGGAATACGGGTTAGTAGCAAAATATATATACAGTCTTTGGTGTTGAAGTATCGCTGTATGACTTCTTACTGAGTTTACGTGCTCGCTCACTGTGACTCCCACAACGCTGTTACCTCACCCCTCACTCTTCCGGTTACCTACAACCTTTTACTCTGGGCTCGACTCTTTGGTCTTGCTCTCTCTCTTTTACTCTCGTCTCGCTCTTGCAGTAGTATATGTATATACTGGGTGAGTCCATTTGTGTAAAAAGGGGTGGACCCCTCAACAATAAGTTAACCTTTATTTTCCCCTTCTATCCGTATAAACTACCCCTTAAAATAACCCTCTATCTCGATTGGCTCCCGAGCCTTGTACAGGATGAGCCTCACTGTAAAAAGAACCACTGGACATATACTTCTTTACCAAACATATAATGGTGCAGTTGACACACACACACACACACACACACACACACACACACACACACACACACACACACACACACATATATATATATATATATATATATATATATATATATATATATATATATATATATATATTACTGTTTTCATTCAAATTCCAGACCGTAGTTTCTGTTTTAGAAAGTTTTATATTCAGTTTTATTTCTTGTGCTGGTGATGCGTGTGGTTGGCCTAACGGTTGATAACAGGGAAAATGAAATCAGCGCAAATTGTAAATTTATTATTATTTTATTCACAAATTCACACTCAACCTCAAATTGATCTCTTATATACGATCCATCGCTAAAGATGCAGATAAAATGATCACCCGCTCCCCCCCGTACCGCTCCAGTAAGTACCTAACTCCTCATGCTATCCTCTACTTTTATAAGAGCCAGATCAGGCCGGAAATGGAGTACCGTTGCCATATTTGGGCTGGAGCTGACCAATGCTCACTTTCCAGACTTTATCAAATTCAAAAGCCTCCTCGAATCCTTGCTGAAGAAGAATTATTTTCCACACCCCAACCTCTCTCACACAGGCGGGTTGTGGCGAGCCTCTTACTACCATGGAAATTGCACGGACGAACTACATTCCTTGGATCCGTCGGGTCTAATCTTCACGGTTAGGACCCGCCATGCCACTTATAATGGAGCAAATCACCCACATTCCCTCCATCGGCGAGAAGTAAGTTCCACTCGAACAGATTCTTCACGCGAACCACTAATCTGTGAAACTGATTCCAAAGAGGAATCTTTCCCCGATCACTACAATCTTAAACTGTTCAAGGCTAGGGTTAACCGTTATCTTCCATTCTTATACACACAAATTACCTCCTAATGTAACCCTCTATCTCGAGTGACTCCCCGGGCCTTGTAAATAGGGAACCTTACAGTAAAAAACAAATGTAAGAGGAATTTAAATTACAATCATTTCCAATTATTTTAATATTGTGCCATGGTCGAATTGAGTAGATAGATAAAAAATAGAAAGGGGCGTAAGACAAGGATATGCCTTAAGCACCGGATTTAGTCAAGCCTTACAGCGATGTTACCCATAGGGAGCTGGAGATTGTACCAGGAGTTATTATCGGTGGGCGTTTTCCTCAAATGACCCAGTATGATGGCAGACACAAAAGGAAAACTACAGGACCTCCAAGGCAAGAGATTAAAGGAAAGCGAGAAGAAAGGACTAGCTATCAATTCTAAGATGACAAAATGTATGATTGTTAGTAAGAGATGAAGTCTATAATGTGAACTAATAATTGGATATGTCAAAATCAAACAAATACAACAATTTTTAGGAAGTGTTTTAAGAGAGGATGCAAAGTGTGAGACCGAAATCCGAAGTCGGATTGGGGGAGCGAAAGATGCCTTCCAAAAGTTAAACAAAATATTAAGAATCGAGAAAATTTCGTTAGACACGCAGAAAGGAGTGCTGCATAGATGTGTAATATCAATCCACTAATATGTCAGTGAATGGAGAACAATTTCCTGACAGATGAAGAAAAGACTGAAAGCAACCAAAAAGTTGTTCTACAGAAGGATACTGAGAATACTGATCGTTATTTATTTATTTATTTTTATTAAACGACCGATACATTTACGTACTATAGATTTGAAAGGCCGGATTGTATTGATCGGGGAAGCATCCTCTTGGGAGTCGGTTCCACTAAGTGGTGAATGCGAATGGAATGAGATTGGTTCGCGACAATGGGCGTGGCAAGGCGGCTCCTAGCCGTGAGGGTGAGAACTCGTGGAACTAAGGAATGTAGTTCGCTTGAAAACTTTTCATAGAAATAGCAGTAGAATAGTGAGAATGTTCCAACATTTCGTCTGTGGGTAAAGGGTTTTTAGACGAAAAACAGTTCATCACCTACAAGGCAGCGCAGACGCTTTTTGAATATTAAACCTGGAACCTGACCATATTTTCTCTTCAATGATGTTCCTCCTATACAAGACCCAAGAGCCACTCGTGATAGAGGGTTACAGAGTAAGTAAGAGACACAGATTTTGTGGATATGTAGGTATGATAACGGTTAACACTAGACTCGAACAGGTTAAGATTGCAGTGATCGAAGAAGCATCCTTTTGGGAGTCGGTTCCAAAAAGCAGCGGTTCGTGATAAGAAACTTTGAATATGGAATATGAAAGGAATGGCGTTAGTTCGCTACAATGGGCGTGGCATGTTGAACTTTTGTTGTGAAGATAAGACCTGGTGGAAATAAGGAATTTATTTCGCTTGAACACTTTCCATAAAAATAGCAAAAGATTAGCTAGAAACTTGCAACGTTTCATCTGTGGGAGAGGGGTTGTAAGGTGGAAAATAATTAATCACCCACAAGGGCGCGTAAACGCTTTTAGACTACATCGAGACGGGGAAGTGAGGACTGGCAGCTCCTGCTTATATATTGCAGTACTATGCCATTTTCGACCTGATCTGTCTCTTGTAAACACAGAGGATAGTAAGAGGAGTCAGATGCTCACTGGAGCGTTACAGGAAACCAACTATTTGTCCAGTGATTTGTTTAGCGATATATATGAATGAGTTCCACTCAAGGTTTGAAGTGACTTTAAGACCCAATAAACATTAAAGGCGCGGAGCTTCTCTGACAGAGCAAACGTTCATTGCGATAGACGAAAATTCAGTGTCCAATTTGTGATGATGAAACGTCACTAGTTTGGTATTTGTGGCACTGAATGTGACCAGCCAGTCTTTTTCTTACTGATCTGTTAGAGCCTGATCAGTGGAGAAATCAGTTGCAAGTCCCTATTTTTTGCTGCTTTGGTATCTCAGTTATTTATTTGAGCCTTATATAACTAATTATCGTTACTACTATACTGTTAATCCACGCATGAGTTGGAGTCATTTGCTTTGAGGATGAAATTCCTATACGGAATTTTGTTAGGGGACTCACGGTTAATCTAAACGGATCTCCACATAAATATTAACATGAAATTCCCTTCTCATTTACAGCGTTTCTGAGATGATTAGTGATTTGCATCTAATCATTGATAAGAACACTAAATGCGATCGCATTTGAATGTAGACACGATTAAATGACATCTAAGCATTGGCAAACTGCGATTAAAAGAAAAGGTTTCCAGTAGAGGCGCTGACGACATGAATAGTCGTGATTCTAATGAAGCGTTTGCAACCGAATCACGAGTCGCCATTAAATAACTCATGTATGCAATTAAACAAGCCAAACAAATCGAAACTTTTAATATCATTTTACACCAAGCAAGGCGATAATGCCACAAAGACGCAGTGGCGCTACGCGGGGTGAAAGAGTATTGGGAAGAGACTTTGGTGAGGAGAATTGAGAATAAGACAATAAAGGAACAGGCGTTCAGGAAGACACAAGATGGCGATTGACGTTGCATTTAAGTAGAGATAGATAGATAGATAGAAATGAATAAACTGAGATAGATATAAATAAACAATGATAGATAGATAGATAGATAGATAGATAGATATGAATGGACTGGGATAGATATAAATAAACAATGATAGATAGATAGATAGATAGATAGATATGAATAGACTATGATAGATAGATATGAATAGACTATGATAGATAGATAGATATGAATAGACTATGATAGATAGATAGATAGATAGATATGAATAGACTATGATAGATAGATAGATAGATAGATAGATAGATAGATATGTATAAACTGTGATAGAGGGAATGAATGAGTTGAGATAGATATGCAGTAAAGAGTCACAGATAGATATGTATGGACTGAGAAAGATATGAACAAATTGTGATAGGTACATAGATAGATGGATAGATATACTATAGGTGAATGGGCTTATACTGATATGAATGAACTATGACAGATAATGAATGGATGAATGAATGAATAAACTAAAATACACAGGAAGAGATTGGCATAGATTTTTGGTAATTGATTCACCTCATGCAAGGAACAATGCCACTAAGACCCGGGGGGTGTTACTGGATTTGAAAGTGAATGAGAAAACTTTACTGTTGTCTAGAGAAGCTGCTCTGATCAACAATCGCATAATATCAGAGTTCTTGCAGTGCCGTGTTGCCTATGGAAAAGTGTCTCTACAAACATTTCCGGTGAGCAACCCTGAGACCACACTAAGCTGCAGTCTGTGCCAATTCCCAGCCAGCATATATTACCTAAGACGATCGACAGATACTGTTATTCTTGACCCTTTCCACTTTTAAATACAAATCATGACTAACAGTAATAAAACCGAATTAGCTCGCTCCCTCTAAAAAAACTAAACACCTCAACTTCTTTCTCCAAAATTCATGGTATTCATACCGATTTCTTTAGTATGGAATCGTTTCTTTTGCAACATTTTCCAGACATCCTAGCTCTCTGTGAAACTAAACTGAACTCTTCAATCTCTTCCACTGAATTCACTCTTTCAAGCTAAACACAGTTAGCTTACTATTCTTTCTTTATCGTTCCCTTTTCTCTCAAAACTGTTGCGTGTTAGATAAAATTTCTGATAGTATAGATAAGGCTCTCTTTCTACACCCGTTTGTAGATATCTTTCTGTTCGGCAAGTTAAATGCCCACCATGTCAAGTGGCTTAATCCCACTAATTTTACTGACCTCGCTGGTATTCAGACCTTAAACATTTCTATTACTCAATCTCTCACTCATATAGTAGACTTCTCCACGCGTTTCTCCGTAATTCTGACAGTCACGCTTCTCTACCTGAACTCTTCCTTACATCTACCCGGACTCATGTCGTGCTCTGCAGCTCTGTCCTCTTAGCAATTCCAATCATGCAGCGGTGTCTGTATCTATCCCCGCTCTCGCATTAGTCACAGACCTCCTCTTAACAGAAGTTCTTTCTGTTACCAACACGCTGATTGGGACTCGTTTCGGGACTTACTTTGCGTGGAATGATATTTTTAATCCTCCTGTTCATAAATCTGCTATATGAGGTCTCTTCCTTGGTGAAAGCCGGCATCAAAGCTTTCGTTCCAGCATGGACGTACCAAGTGAAATCACGATCATTTCCCTGGTTCTCGCCTGCCTACTCATCCGCTATAGCTCACAGAAATTCCTCCTTTGGGCTATACCACAGCGACAGCTCTGATTGTTGCATTGTTATTGTTCATAATAAGTGCATACCTGTCCCCAAAGAAACAAAGTGGCTATTTGCTGATAGAATTAGACATCGTATAGCCTCTCACCAAAAAAATTGTGTTGAACAATAGCAAATTTCCACTCCCTCTTCTCTACAACCAAATTTGAAGTATTGACATATACTGCAGATCAGATACAGTGCTTTGCTCGAAAGTTTTCTTCCAACTCCACCCTCGACTCGATATGGAGTACCTCTGCCAGATTTTCCTGTTAGAGTGGAGGCTGTATGCGCATAACCGTGTCACTGGTTTTTGAAATCATTTCTAAATTAGATTCCCACAAGGCAAGCGGATGTTACAGTCCTAAAGAAATGTGTTCCTGAACTGACTCTTGTTCTCCCCAAACTTTACGACAAATTCTTCGCTGCTTCCTGCTTCCCGGCTTGTTGGAAATCCTCTGTAGTTCCTGTTTTTAAGAACTCTGGGGAACCTAACTTGATTTCATCATAGCCAATAGATTTATATTTCTTACGCTATTGTGACCCACTACAAGGGACAAAAGTCTCTCAAGGTAGAGTGCTACTGTATGAAGTTGATTTATAAACGTAAGAATTGATTATCAGGATATGTAGAGTAGACAACCGTTGGCCCTGGATTTGAAGAGGTTCAGATTGTAGTTGTCACGGAACTATCCTTTCAGGAGTCTGTTCCACAAAGCAGCGGCTCTTGAAAACAAACTTTCTCAATGGAGCTTCCTTCTTACCAATAGAATATAAAGGGAATAAGAATGATTCGACTGTGTGTACGTGGCATTGCGGATACTAGCTGTAAAGGCCTGAACTGGTGGAAATAAGAGATGTAGCTAGTCAGAACTGTTTTCATGGAAATAGAGTAGTGAGTGTTTAGTAACGTTTCGTCTGTGGGGAAGAGCTTGTAGATTGGAAAATAATTGATCGCCTACAAGGCTACGTAAATGGATCTGAACTTTGTCAAAGCTGGAAAGAGAGGATTGGGCAAATTTAACGAGAACGTTAGTTACGATCTTATTTCCTGCAGCTATCATAGTAACTATTGTTGTTGTCTCTCATTTCACATTACTTCAAATTAGTCTAGCGGAACCGAATAAAAAATACGGAATTATCGAAACATATAAAATAACCTGTTTAATTAGATTTTCTTTAAACCGTACCGAATTATTTAAACATGTGACAAATTAGTGTTATTATTATTATTGTTTTTATTTCTTTTTATTTCTGGCGTTTACACATTTCTTTCTGGGTCCCGCCAAGAGACCTAAGGTTAGAAATGGCATCATGACACTTTCCACTAACAAAAAAAAAAAAAAAATACATAGATAAAGCCCTTCGTAAAGTGTGGGCTGTACTTGTGAGAACAATTTTTTGTATCTCTTTTAGGCATGGACCTCCAGGAATCCCTTCAATTAGTCTACTGCAATCTTTTCCAATCAATCCTAGGGCTCCAACTACAACAGGGATTGTTGATGTTCCCATGTGCCACATTTTTGAGATTTCTATTTCAAGGTTCCTGTATTTTGACAGCTTTTTGAATATCTTCAAAGATACATTGCAGTCTGCAGGGACTGCCATATCAATAAGGAGGTACTTTTTTGTCTAGAAAATTAGTCAACTGTTTCTCTTGTGATCCGCTATATGTAACTATGTCTAGATTTCAAAATTCAAGTGGACTTAGAATAATAACAAAAAGAACTTTAGAAAATAGATGTCTTTCTGAAAAGGTTGTTTATATAGAAACTTTAATGAAGTTAAATAGAGCTTTTATTATAACATACCTTGCTCTCTATATTGGACGGGCATTCGGCTACTATATATAAAACCTATTTCAATATCATTTTAAACGAAATTGTTTGTACCGGATAATTTTGCTTCTCACCGTACATTCCCCATCACAAATCTATAAATAAATATGAACTGAACTGAAGACTAGAAGAGCATGTTAAACATGTCATCATTCTGGCTAATTTTAACAAACAAAATATTACATTAAATCCTTTACTGGGGACCGTGTATCCAGTGCTGATCTGTCTACTGAATCGGTTCTGTCGTGTCCCTAAATTTTAGTATGGCTTGACATCCAAGATCGTACAATCTTTCTTGATTGCACATGGAGTTTAGTTTACCCGGTCTTCTGTCTGTCAAGGATCGTAAAATAGAAAAGACTGCGCAAGAAGATAATGATCCTTTTCAATTTCTTCTCTGAAATGATACTGAATTTAAAATTTATTGCACAGGTTTCTACACTAAAAACGAATGTGCAATGCTAAAAAATAGTCCGCTTGAAAATAACTCCTAATTGAAGTTATTTACAAGCGGACTATTTTTTTTCTCAAAACTTCACGGTCGATCGTCTTGAACATTTTCAAATAAGATTTTCCAGTAATGAATTTCAAATTTATTGCACAAGTTTCGACACGAAAAATAAATATGACTTTCGGAAGGTATTTCCTAACAATTGTTTTATGGGAAACAACCGTGAATTCAGCTGCCATTGTCTTTATAGCCATTTAAAAAATGTTTGAGATACGGTTCTCTTGGTTTTCTGTAATTTATTTTAATAAGAAATAAGGTAAGTTTTGTTTTTGAGAGTTAATTTAGGTCTAGGATTATTTTGTGTTGTTTAATGAACAAGGGGTGTGTTTGATAGAATGGCATCGTATAGGATTTAAGGGTTTCGCTGTGTAGGTTTTTCATTGCAGACATTTTAAAAGTCTATTTGATTTAAAAGGCATTTTAATAGGCATTCTGCATAGACTTTACACGGGATGATTTAAAAGCTTATTTTATTTAATGGGTTTCTTCGTAGTCTTCTGTATATAGACTCTCCCCATTGCAGACATTTTAAAAGCATATATGATTAAAAGGCCTAATTCATGAGCTTGTGTGTATAAGCTTCCACTGGGGCAGATTAAAAAGTTTATTTGATTTAAAGGTCATCTGTGTATATAGATTGACGTTATAAAAGATTATTTGATTAAAGGGGGATTTTTGTAGGCTTTTGTATATAGGCTCTTCATTGGGGATGATTTAAAAGCTTATTTGATTGAAAGGGCTTCGTAGGCTTTTGTATATAGGCTCTTCATTGGGGATGATTTAAAAGCTTATTTGATTGAAAGGTTTCGTAGGCTTTTTGTATATAGGCTCTTCATTGGGGATGATTTAAAAGCTTATTTGATTGAAAGGGCATCGTAGGTTTTTGTATATAGGCTCTGCATTGGGGATGATTTAAAAGCTTATTTGATTGAAAAGGGCTTCGTAGGCTTTTGTATATAGGCTCTTCATTGGGGATGATTTATAAGCTTATTTGATTGAAAGGGCTTCGTAGGCTTTTGTATATAGGCTCTGCATTGGGGATGATTTAAAAGCTTATTTGATTGAAAGGGCTTCGTAGGCTTTTGTATATAGGCTCTTCATTGGGGATGATTTAAAAGCTTATTTGATTGAAAGGGCTTCTGTAGTTTTTTTGTATATAGGCTCTGCATTGGGGATGATTTAAAAGCTTATTTGATTGAAAGGGCTTCGTAGGCTTTTGTATATAGGCTCTGCATTGGGGATGATTTAAAAGCTTATTTGATTGAAAGGGCTTCGTAGGCTTTTGTATATAGGCTCTGCATTGGGGATGATTTAAAAGCTTATTTGATTGAAAGGGCTTCTTTTGTAGGCTCTTCATTGGGGATGATTTTT